CCAGCATCAAGTTGCTGAAGGAAACGCATAGAAATGATTCTAGAACACTTCACGAGTGTTTAAATATGAAAAATTCATAAAATGAAACATCGAAAAAGTTGTATTTTTCTATACCGGAAATTGAAAAATCCTTGTAAATCAAAAACAATTATGGTGTGAGACGCGTCACAAATTCGGACTTATATTTTACAAAAATATACGACTTTGGAAGTTAAATAATGCCGTCCTTTAGAAAATAATTGTTAAAGTGTTAATCTCAATATTATTTGAAGCACATTGAGCTAATCAAAGCACATGTAGCAGTCTGTAACACCAAAGCCTGAACTAAAAACACAAAGGAAACCATCTTGAAATGACCTTGACATCGACTAATCAGATCTCTAGTTTTATTTCATTCAATAACAATAACAACAACTTGATTTGACAAGCATGAAGCTCATTTACGAGATAAACGGAATAGTGTTAACAAGAAAACAAATGAGCATACATTTAATTAAGATGATTTAAATAATCACAATCATCTCAGACAAAAACGAATAAAATGTTTAATATTAATTACCTTCGTATTATCTGAATCCACCAAATTTAGCCAGCCAGATAATAACAATGGTACATATTTCAGCATTTATTGGGTACAACACAAATCTAGGGTGCTCGCATAAAGCAGCTTAACTGCTTAAAAAACGTGTCCACCTTACACTCTTTCGGTAAGCCTCCCCAGCTTCGTACGGTAAAGTTCATTACCGGTTATAGCTCAGATGAAAGGTTATAGCTTAGGGAAGGGCTCACTAAAATGTTTGATATATTGCTGCTAATGTGAGGAAAATTTATAATTTCAAAATTAATTGAAATCGTTTCGCTTGGGATAACTTTTGGTACTGAGATGACGGTTGTAGTCAAATTCGATGTACATGTCTAGAAATGAGGCGGAGGAAGCTATATCTATGGTTTTCTTTGTCTCTAGTTCAAGATGATATATTAATGGGACCTTATCAGAAAAGTTTGAATTGTTAAGGGAAAAACATTATCAATATATCGGTATGTGAATTTAGATGCTGTAACTTCTTTAATCATCTTGTTTTTAACAAGTGTTTGGATGAACGCAGACTGGTATGAAAATAAGAAAATGTCGCCAAGGAGAGGTGCACAGTTGGTTTCCATAGGAATGCCGAAAACCTGCTGGAAAATTCTACCTCCAAATTCAACAAATATGTTGTAAATGTGAAACTCCAGCTTACAGATTGCTTGTTCTTCTGTGTAGCATGTTTTATTTTCGGCCTCATTTTTAACAAAATATGTTGAATTATATTCCAAAACAATACATTTGTAGCGTAAAGGGTAAAAAAATCGAAGGTTTTAATAGACTTTTTTTCAGAGAATGACATAGATTTGAAATACTTCAGAAGTTCCTTCGAGGTCTTAAAAATCCACACATTTTTAATGTCACTACGTGAGTAAACAGAATCACATTATTTCTATAATATCCCTCTTTCACTGCGTACAACATTTTTTCAATCTTTCATTTTGATGCATTGACTAATATCTTCTCGTACTGAATATGCAGGAATTGCTTGCCACCAGACGCAAAGGAAACAACAACAACAACAAAAAACAAACCTTTAATTTATTGCCAATTGAATCACATCTTTGTTGATTTTGTTGTATTGGGCTTTGAATATTTTGGTTGATTTTTATAATTTTTTCTTGTATTATTTTTTTTTCAACAGGTTCTTCTTGGGCAAACTAGTACAAATTGTCTTGGTATATATTGTTAGATAAATGAATTTCAAAGCAATTTGTTTTCCTTCTGTATGATAAAGCGGCCCTGGGAAATTCTAAACAACATTATTTTTTTATAAATAATCTACTCTTAAGGTTAAATGCGTAATGAGTATTACCATAGTGCTTATTGCGCGTCTGTGCTACACGCAGATCTATACATACGAATGGTAAAAATACATGCAAAGAGAAGTTAATGTGTGTTAAGCAGAAGTCAGAATACCTCCTTTTTATATCATGTTTTTAGCACACAATTTTCGCTTATCTTTAAAACAGTTTATCTTTCTTTTCATGATGCATTACGATATTCCAGTAACACATGCAACATGCTTAGAACAGATTAATTATAAATTGTCGTATTGCTGGGTGTTATACTGGTTTTAAATCTGAAATTCCTGATCAGTACGTTTCAAACGTTCCTACCATGCCAAGAAAGTAGTTCAATCACTTGAATTGGATGGTAAGAATATTTAAATGATGCTGCAATTATTTATACTTAAACGTATTAAATTGACTAGCAATATATTCCAATTATTATAAGTTTGAAACGACCATTTCAAACTGAAACTTGAAATCTATTTTGACCTTTCGGTATTGTGAAAGAACCAAGTCATTCGACTAAGCACTGTACAACAAAGATATGTGTAATTATTGCCAATGAGACAACCATCTACCAGAGACAAAATGACTTGGAATTATGGGTTAACGTACGACATTTTATACTGAGTATGACCCATACCGTAAAGTCAGCTCTAAAAGGCCCCGACATAACAAAATGAGAAAATATACGAAACAAGGAAACCAACGGCACGGAAAAAATGAATAAAAGAAAAACAAATATGTAAGACAGCATCAAACGACAAGCACTGTGTAACAGGATCTTTTGAACGGACACATACAGAATATGGCGGGGTTAAACATACTGGTGTGCGTCCAACCGTCCTCTCACCAGTTCTATCACAACACAACTCAAGGAATAAACGGTAACAATTATTTCGAAATATCTTTACTAAAAAATGTACAAGAAGCAAAAAAAAAAAAAAAAAAAACCAAAAGAATTCACATAAAACAAAAGACACAAAGTTATCGAAAGCTAGTTCTCTAATCTTCTCAGGGGCAATAAGTACGTTTTATAATTTATGGGTGAAAGTAAAAAGTATACAGTTACAGCGACCAGACTTGAGTTAGTGTATAAAGGTGGTATCTTTGGTTACCTTGCTTGTTTTCTGAACTAGCTAAGGTACAAACTTCCTTTGTGCGGAGTCAATAATTAGTTGTAGAACATATTAACAAGAAGCCATAGAATATTATATTAATAAACATTTTGCAACCATTGGTTCAATAAAATTGAGAATTAAAATGGGGAATGTGTCAAGGAGACAACAACCCGACCAAAGAGCAGAAAACAGCCCAAGGCAACCAATGGGTCATCAACACAGCGAGACGGGCTTCAGCTGGTCCCTAAATTCGTTTAAAAATATTAAAACCTAAGTGTAAAGTATATGCCCAATCACAATATCAAAATAAGGAGATGTGGTATGATTGCTAATGAGACAACTATCCAAACTACAAATAAAACACACCTTGACCATGCTTGTTGAAGTCCGTACGATAGCCTATAATTGTTTACATCCACTTCATTTGAACTTTGGTGGATAGTTGTATCATTGGCAATATACCACATCTCCTTTTTTATATTATAGAAAAACAAAGGATATTGGGTATCCATCCATGACACCTTAAAGTAATTAATAAGAAAAAAATGATATGTTACAAAAAGGTTAATTTACTGTACATTCCTTTATAGAAATGAATTTTCTCAATGATATCTCATGAGACAAACAAGTTTCTTTTTATGTATAAAAATCAGTGCATGCACAGCAAAAAACAAACAAAAAGCAAAGGATCAGCGTTTTTATTGCTGTTCTTCATCTCAAAGTCACAGTGAGGCCTTTAACACGGAGCAAAAAAAAAACTCTCACCTCACTGTAAGTTTAAGACGGTCCCTAGTGCCGGTTTGAGCCGAATTCTTTGCAAAATGTATTGTTTTGGTTGATATGAACAATGTCGGGTTGTTTTATAGCTGACTATATGGTATGGAATTTTATCATTGTTGAAAACAGTACGTTGACCTGTAATTGCTTATATCTATGTCATTTCAACTCTTGTTGTAGATAGTTGTCTCGTTGGCATTCATACCACATCTCCTTATTTAAAAAAAAGGTAATTTAAACAATGTCTATTATCAGTAGACAATACCAAATAAAATTCAGATAGTCATTTAACTATCGTCTGCAGTGAAGAAAAATATACACATCTTAATCCGGGAAAGTATTTTCTTAAACAAAGTGAACGTAACTTTCTTTATCCAACCAGACCTTGAAATGGTTTCCTTTGCACAGGTTTGTTTGGAATCAAAATTAATTTATTTGTATGAACACATAAATTTTTACTAATGAGTTTTAACATCCCTTTCAATTTTGGTATATTTCACCTCTCTTGTGCTCTATATCATTTTTACATGTACAAGTCAAAAAAGATAATAATTGCATAGTTTTATCATTTAACTGAAAAAACTGTTATTTCATCGCTGTCTTAATCATATAAAAGGTATATTTTAAACCAAATAGCATTGTTTTATAGAATTCACAATTTCAATATTGCAATACCTTTGTCTTCATAAAAAGTGTTATTTTCATTTTCAAGTACAGGGTCGATACAGCTACCAGTTGAGTGCTATTCATAAAGGGTTTCTATAGCTCAGTAGTCAGTTCTTCGGTACTGATATGATTTGTTAACACACGTATTTGAATTTTCCGTTGATAAATGTAGTAGTTATTGAGAAACAATGGTTCCAAGTTCTTTAGCCACAATTGAATTGTGGTCTATTTGCCTACTTTTATATCCTCTTTAGTTGTATAGCTCTTTTAATATTTACACACAACAATGATAAAGTGGATCGTGTAGGAGATATTCCTAGTTTATTTTTTTCTTTTCGTATGATTTTTCTTGTATTCCTGATGTAGTCGTATAAATGTAGTCTTAAAAAGCACAATATTATTGAGGGTAATTGTTAATTATCGATAATTTTAAATATTCTATAGGTGTATGTTCAATCTACGTGTTTTTAAAAACCATTAAATTGGTACGAATCAATGAAATACGTTTGTTGGATATTTAATAGTTACACAATTTGTAATTTGCCACAAATACGCTGTAGACTATAATCATAGCTAAAATCTTTTAAAACGTTTTACATGTAACACATTACAAATACAAGTTTCAAAATGGCGACAGAAAGTTAATCATCCAAGCGGATAACGTAAGTAGAAATAAAACTAGATCATGGGTATTTCAACGACGACACTAAATTACAAGAACACCAAATCCTTCAGGAATGGACCAATGTCGATACAATTTGTCAATGTCTAAATCGTTACGAGTTTGAAATCGTATAATACATTTAACAGAGACTTTAAAGATCTGCCATTTACACCATGTTCCCCTTTGAAAAAAAAACATTATGATATAACTAAAGACAACAATAGACGTATAAAATCTTAACAAAAACAAGGATCCATTTCAATGTTGGATTTAGTAAAAGTTTTACAAAAGTTCCGAAATAGTCTGTGTCTGCGTGTCCCTTTTTACGCACAGAAATCACGTGATAACGTTACAAATATATGTTGAGATCATCACAACTTAAACGTCGTACAAATGTAGTCTTAAAAAGCACAATATTAGAAAATTGAATAAGTATGGTATTGTGGTACTGTATACAGTCGTTTTCACGTTTATCTTATTGAATTTCATTTACTCTTAGTTATTGATCATATGATATATCATAAAATAAAATAAAATAATTAATGTAATTTTATATTCATTTTGATTTATATATTTATAATATGATTTTTGGAGAAAAGTTTCTTCCGTTATATCAATGAAATATACACAACGAAACAGCCTAGATATAATTTTGTTATTAAGTGCATGTATTTTAGATGTATATCCAACGACAGAAATAATTTCTGTAATATCCTGTTTAGAAAACGAGGAAAATACAAACAAAGCACTCAAAAACCATAAGTATAAGAACAGCACGCAAAACAATGGTCAACAGTTATTTTTTTTTTATTGCAGCACCCACATGGCAGAATTAGATGAGAGGATGAGACGTTTGATTTTACTTTTACTTTTACTGGTACATTATTATTTAAAAAAAAACTATCTAATTTCAGTGAAATTAATTCACGATACTTTTTTTTTTATTAAAATCCAAACTGTCATTAACTGTATCTCATGGTAATACACTCAAATATCTTAATAAGCTGTTCATTTTATATCAAAAGACTTGCATACGGAGTAAATTAAAACAATAAACAGGACAATATCTGTTTTGTAAAGATGACAGAAATCGTCAGTTGACTCCTCATATATTTATTGCCCTTTAATGATAATTGTTACCTAGTTTTGCATACTTGGCCAAAACTATGGAAGAAAAAAACATGTATAAACAGAAAAATGACCAGAAAGACTACTCTGCAAATATATCAACAAGGTCAAAATTGTCGGTCGACTCCTTATTACCCTTAAAGATGATTTTTCCATAGTTTATGCAGAAATTAAAGTAGATTTAAAAAAAACATACACAGCAAGACGATATCTACCAGACAAAACGATATCTATCAAACAAGACAACAATTGTAAGTCGTCCACTTCTTATAAAAGTTATTGACCTTGAAGAGACGATTTTTATCCATTTTATTTGTATTTTGAGGAAAAACTTAAGTGGAAAAGGAAGAACTGACAACAGAAAAAATGTAAAGCAATACAAAACCAACAAAAAAGAGATCTTAGTCATGAATAATAATTTAGTCTTTAATCTTGGAGAGTGGCCATTATTGAAAACGCACAGGACTAAGTTGAGAGAAAATCTTTTTTTACGGAAGAATAAATGTAATATGTTTCACGTACTAATATCTACTTCAAGTCTGGACTTCAGATATGTGTATCAAGACAACCCCGTTATTCCGACACACCTATATTACGCCATACTTTTATTCAATAGTCTAATATATAAAGACAAGGGTAAATAGTTGTGTCATAAGAATTCCAACTTGTAGAGTTTAATCAATGTTTCAGAAAAGAAGAACCAACATTTCAAATTCCAAAACTAGAAAACTGAGCAGCTCATGAGTCGTCCTGAATATGCATTGCACATTTGCCACTTGATTTACCATTGTTTAAACAAGGCAAAGTCAGTGACTTGCTTTTGGGAAACCAAACAGGCCTTTAAAACCAACCATAAAACATGAGATGCATAATGTCTAACGAACATATGACAGTGTCGTGGAAACTGAAACATGGAATATGGGATAACAACAATTTTTTTTCTGTCAACATGCATGTTCTTTCCGAATGAAACTCTTCAATTTTAAATGCTCATCCATATCATAATTTAAGAACACAACTAATTTCTGAGTATAAATTGCTAAAATGTGTGGATGACGCTTTAGTAATTTGCGTCCATGTCTCCTCCTTCTAAAATTGTAATAACTGTGTTTAAATACTAATATCAAAGTTTAAATACTTGTCTTAGAAAATTTTGAGATTTTAAAAATCGAAATTTCGAGATTAAAAAAGTCGAAATTTTGAGTTTAAAGTAGAAATTTTTGGTTAAAATCAAAAGTTCTAGATTTTAAAAGTTGAAATTTTGAGTTTAAATCGAAATTTCGAGTTTAAAAAAGTCAAAATTTTGAGTTTAAAGTAGAAATTTTTACTTTTATAAAGTCGAAATTTCGAGTTAAACTCAAATTTCGAGATTTGAAAAGTTAAAATTTCGAGTTAAAGTCGAAATTTTAAGATTTGAAATGTCAAAATTTCGACTTTGAAAAAAGAGTTCAATGCCAATTTTATTTTTACTATGTCCCTAATACGCTTCCGTAGAAATGTTTTAAAAATCTAACAAACAGAAATCAAGAATTAGATGAACTGTACATCGTATTGGTCAAGATTTGATATAAAGATATCATACTCATTTATTAAACATGTCAAATATAAAACCCTCTTCCAATTTTAACTCACATCGATATAGCCTTTTTGTGTTGATGCGGCGTAAAGCAATCAACAATCAATCAATCAATCTCATTTAAAATTATCTGTTTGAGAATACCATGATACAACATCGGATGGGGCTGTAAGGCTAGTGCATATGAATTAAGATTAGATAGTATCGATTATCGATGAATTAATATGAATATTTACAGATACAAACTGTGATTCATGGACTTGACAATGTATTTACATTGCATTGTCCTTTTCCTTCGCAATGGTATTTCCGATCAAAAACATTATGTCATATATCCGACGGATACCATTGTTTATACGATGCAAACAAAAAGCAGAACACAGAAGCTTGCAGGGACGGACCACAGTTTGAAGCTCCTGGTAAGTTTTTCTATTCTATATTGATTTTGTTTTTAATTGTCATCCGTCTGAAAAAATAGACTAGTATTTTTCTACTCTAACTTAGAGAATAAATATGGGAAACACGTTGATGTATCACGTTGATATATGTTCATGAACCAATTAAGGTATTGTATAAGCTTTAATTTGTATCAGACAGTTGAACTGGGGAGACCGGGTCCGATTGCCAAATATTTTAGACAGAAGTGCATTGGAACAAAGAAAAGGACAATCTGTCCTGGTAAATTTAAATTTTGGAGAACTTAAGTATAAATAACAAGGCTGATTATTCATTATTATTTTCTGATTCCTTAAGAACCAATGAATTACTCTATGGATATTTTTTTACATTTCACATAATGTTTTATTGCTGGTTGACTTAGACTATTGTATTTCAAGACGTGGTCTATTTATTTTTTATCGAAAAAAAGCTTTCAGACTTGAAATTTGATTTGATATATAAATCTTAACAAGCCGAAAAAACAGAGCAATATGAATGAGACCTATAAAACATATAACACTCCATTATAATTCAAGTTTGCTGAAGAAAACACAATGATTTAGTTTCTCAGTCTCAGATACCGTAAAGATGTTTTGATTTAGGTCTTGCCAATAATATAAAATGTGAGCTAAGATCATACACAAACAGATGTTTTGCTATAAGATGTCTTAAACAAAAATGTTAATATGGATAATAAACCAGGACCAAAGAAAGGGTATATTGCTTTTTCTCAATCCATCAGTTCGTGTGGCAGTTTGTCCGTCAGTCTCATGACATTTTGTCCCATTTGTCAACCTGAAGTTTTATATCAATCGTCAGCTGAGCATGCTATACAATTTTTTTCACGTCCACCACTGATCAATACCGTGTTAACATTCGTTCTGAATATGCATGAAATAATTGTCATCGGACTGAAAACAACAGTCAATCAATTATGTTTAAACGTATAGCGGCGATATCATTCATAAGCACAGTACATCTTGTTATTAAGCCTCGACTCCTGTCTAAAATCATTATTGTTGGTAAAACATGTTTGTGTTGTCATAATGACATCAACGCTAACATACCAGATTATATTATCCAATTTGGTATTAATGAAACTAAAACTATTTCGAATTGATATATTTATTTGTTGGAATTTCCAGGACCATTTAATGGCTCTTACTCCTTTTTAAGCATCATTCCATGCTGTAATTTGACTGAGATTTTTTGTTAATGTTTAGCTTTTAACATAGTACTTAAGAAAGGTATGTGCGATATTATAATTTTTTGTAGGAAGCAATATATTTGATACACCTTATAACTGTGCATGGCTGACAAATAAGATGTAACTTTTTTTTATAAAGGCATGTCGTACATTTACCAAAATAGCATACCAAATTAAATTGTACATCTCATTGATTCGGTATATCAAAGTCTCCAGAATAATTAAACACTTTTTAGGGCATAAGCTACAAATAGTTGGAAGTTTGGAAGTTGCAAAATGTGCAAGTGAACGTTATCAACCCTATATTTTCTGGACAAATGGCAGTCACCTTTGCAAATTTGAAAAATCAAATTGCACTGACGAAGGACAGGTACTATTTTCACTGGGTTCAACTAAAGAAGACAGTACGTGTAGATGTGACTACACAAACGGTTATGCCTTTGTAACTAGACCAAGAAATACGTGTTTCTGTATGCCAACTGAAGAAGACTGCTCTTGTTTCATCAGAGAGTGTCCTAGTGGATTGGTCCTTTCTCCAGGTATTGCAAATATCTTAATATTTAATTAAAAAATAATTCTGTCATGCCATGCTCTATGCTCATTTTAACATGGGTAGGCATTATATTTGTCAATATATTTATACCGAGCGTTAGCGAGGTGTGGAATGTTGACAAATGTAATGCCTATCCATGTTAAAATAATCAAAGAGCATGGCATGATAGAATTATTTCGATTCTAATAGGAAAAATTAAAACTTTTGTCCTTTGAAGCGCACCTATAATACGCGTTCAAAAGGCATCCATTTTGATTTGAATACGCCAAAACGTTTTAGAAAATCAACCGTTTTACGATAAACAAATGAACAGATACATGTAAACTTACTTTTAGAATGATTTTATTTAATTTCCTAGTAAGCAACACCAAAACAAATGTCCATTTTGATTTCTTGCGTTGTTCAAAACACAGCTGACGTTGCAATTTCAATTGTGACGTCAATCACGTGCAGCCCATGTTTTATTGGAATTAGAACATGGCTTTGTTTCCAAAGCGAAAGAAGAACGTCATATTAGAATTTGCATTAAACATTAAGCCTAATGGTTTTTATTTTTTTTAAGTCAACATATGTCATTTAAAAGATAAAAGATTTTTTTTTAAATTTCAATAAATACGATGTGCTAATAGTTATTTGAAATGAAAATTAACTTTTTTTTGTATACGTTAATTTTATGATTTTCAATTCATTCCGATATAAACAGAAGGAAGACGTAAAAAAAAACCTCTAAGTGTTTCGGTAAATTACAAACAGAATACTAACTAGATTTGCCATTGCAAGCAATAGCGGATGACACCCTTCCCCCATTGCCAGGTGAGCGGCAGCCATTTAGCAAATTCCAAAGTCAAAGAGTGCATCTACACATGCAAATTATCATTTTTGTAAAGTTTCATAAAGTTTGGAGCATTTTGAAATTTTGAACTTTTTTGCTGTTTCCATGGTTACGGCAGTCATTTTGAAAATTCCAACTTCAAAATGCAACTCTGCCTCTGGCAGTTACCATTTCTGCAAAGTTTCATCCAGTTTGCAGCATTTTGATTTTTTTATAAATTTTGAACATTTTTGCTGTTTCCATGGTTACAGTGGATAATTCCAAAATTCTAAAAGCAGACATCTCATTGCCACATCTCATGTTATATATCAATACAGTTTCATTGACTTTGGTCAAATACTCTTTAAGAAAATGCTGATTTTATGCATTTTCCTATAAGGTCAATGTAAAACTTGCCCCCAGTTTCCATGACATCGGCGCCCATTTTGTACTATCCAAATATTGTCTTGGTATCTTAGCATACTGGGTAACATTTTCATAAAGTTTCATCCAGTTCGGTCTTATAACGAAAAAGTTAGAATTTTTGATATTTTAGCTGTTTCCATGGTAACGGCAGCCATTTTAAAAATTCCGAAGTCAAACTGCAAATCAGCACGTGCCAGTTACCATTCCTGTGGAGTTTCTTCCAGTTTGGAACACTTCGATTGTTTTCGCATTTCTGCTGTTTCCATGGAAACGGCGGCCATTTTTTTACCATTCCATTGCAAGGTGCAAAACCTTACATAGGTATCCTCATTATAGTGGAGTTCCATCAACATTGGTCCATCGGATTCCAAGAACTCGCGCGGACAAAATGTGTGGATGAAAAATAAGAAAAAAAACTAGATTTGTAATTGCGAGCAATAACGGATGGCACCCTTCCCCCATTGCCAGGGCAACGGCAGCCATTTTCAAATTCCAAAGTTAAAGAGTACATCTACACATGCTGAGTAACATTTTTGTAAAGTTTCAATAAGTTTTGAGCATTTTGAAATTTTTGACATTTTTGCAGTTTCCATGGTAACGGCGGCCATTTTGAAAATTTCTAAGTCAAACTGCAAATCAGCACATGCCAGTTACCATTTATGTGAAGTTTCTTTCTATTTGGGACACTTTGATTTTTTTCGCATTTTTGCTGTTTTCATGGAAACGGCGGCCATCTTGAACCATTCCATACCAAGGTGCACAACTTACATGGGGGTCCTCATTATAGTAAAGTTCCATCAACATTGGTCCATTAAAATCCGAGAAACACGACGGACAAAATGTATGGAAGAAGAATAAGAAAAATAAGAAAAAAAAAAAAAAGAAACGTAGAATAACAATACGTCACCCCAACTCCGTTGAGGGTGCCATAATTATTCATTTTCCTTTTTTCGAATCTATTATTCCTTGTGAAATTAAATTATTCGTGTTAGTGATTTGTTTTGGTATACCGCCGACATTCAGGCCACAAAAGTATCTTTATGTTCACATGTGTCTTATAATGAAGCTATTTAAGTACTTTAAATGTGTATTTAACTGTGTTTGTTGTAACATCACTTTGTTTATTTATATAATTATATAATTTATGATTGATTGGTGTTATCTTCTCAACTTCATTTTAGTTAATTTGAATACCTGAGTAAATACATCGAGGTTTTTTTTTCAGATTATAAATGTGTACCAGTGGAAAAGTTGCTAGCAATCTCACAGTGTCCAATAACAACCAGTAGCGTGTAAGATTACTCAAGAAAAAATGAAATAATTAGAAGTCTAGTTAAAATATTATACATGGAGATTGTCAAAAATCTACTAAAACTAAAATACTAGGCAATCACCAACTGTCAATGAAAGTAGTATGCTATACGGTTTACATGAATTACACGAACACTTTGGTTAATTTCGATATACACAAATGCTACCTTAACTTTTGCAATCCAGCTTGAAAACAAATGCTGGCACAATCGTTTAGAGTGTGAATGCATAAAAACGCAGTCACATCAAACCAAGACGTTGATGCTAAATCATTCTATGAGAGCATCTCGCTATCTGCACAATGAAAACACTCCAAAAATTATTTGGATGGATTGGTAAGTTGCCAGTTGCAATTCAAATATTGTGTCGCTGTAAAACACCAATTTTACCGTAGGCAGTTAAAACTTTTTGTATTCAATATTGATTCCTTCTTCCTGAAAATGCATTTAATATTTGCCACTGGGCATTCAGAAAAAAAAATCAATCAATCAAATTCACTTGAAAAAGAATGATAATGAAAACGAATTATGTAAATGTTTAATCTGAAAATTCACAAATCATGTTGGAAATCAATACATTTTATTTTGTAAAATATACAAAAGGGACGATTTTCGATTTTTGGGGGTAATGTTCCTTTGGCACCATCTTACGGTGTTTATATATCACAACTCAA